TAGCATAATATAAAAATATAAAAATACTTATTTTTCCTGTTGGTATATCTTACGCATGCAACTTGGTTCTTGTCCTGACCACTTTTTGGTAGCTAGACAAGTCCTTGTATCATCACCAACTAATTTGTATCCACTGTTGCAAGTGTATGTAGCAGTACTACCCAATCTAGTATCAGGATGTATAGATACAGCTCCATTAGCAATGTGAGGCAATGGACCACAATTGACACCTAAATGATGACATTATAACATTATATTATTCTAGTGGTAATAACTCACGTTTGCAGATTGGTGCTTCTCCTGACCATTTACCACTACGTGAGCATGATCTTGTAGCAAATCCAACCAATTGGAATCCTTCATTACAGGAATAGGTAGCTTTCTGTCCAGGATAACGGCCACTGACTTTCACACTACCATCCTTAGGGTCAGAAAGCTTAGGGCACACAACCTTGTCTAGAATAAACAAAAATTGATACATTTACTGATTAAATTTGACATAGCTTACATGGTGGATATCCAGAATGATAGCCACTACCTTGTTTTACACTGTGTTCTCGTGAATAAGATCGTTCATGTGAAGGTCTTCCATATGGTCCTTGTCCATATGGTCTTCCTCTAACATATCCATCACCATGAGATTCTTGAGCAAATGTTGCTCCAAAAATTGCAATGAGTACAAGACTTGCAAATAATACCTTCATTATGAAAGAGATTCTGTTCCTTTCTGTAGGTGACTCTCTGTTCATCTTCCTTGCCTTTTATATACTTTTCTCTTTGAATTATGTTTTCAATATTTGGTCTTCCATTAAAATAGGGTATTCACAAAGTTTACTGCACCCACTTGTGATAGCCATGACATAGTTAAAAGTCTAAGAAATAATTAATAGAGAAGACAGTTAGTTTAGACTGTGGCATATTACTACAGTAGTCAAAACTTCATCGGAGTCTTGATTAGATACGTCTATCTTATGTTTCTTGCTTGTTACTCAGTAAAACATCATTTAGGTAAGTCATAATGCTATAATAAACAGAGAGCCTGAGTTTATGATTCTGTGGGAAAATATTTGTATTTAAAAGTTGCTTTCTTGGCAATTCTATGGCCACTTGTATTGCAATGAATGCTTCCATTTTCTGATTTATAATAATGCTTATTCTCATATTACAAAATAAATTATGGGATGTAAAATGAAATTAATATCATTAGTCATCATAATATGAACCGTGACTCTTGACTGGCCCTCCATAGTGATCACTTTTAACACAGTCGCGATCAGACCCACTCCAGTGGCCAGTGTGAAGGCATACCCTGCGTCGACTACCATTCAACCTATACCCGTAGCTGCAGTGGTACACAACATAGGCACCTGGGTGTCGTCCTGAGGTATAAATCTTGCCAAATCGTGGCGGTTTTAATTTTGGGCATTGGATTTCTGGAATGAAAACTCAATTATGATATCCTGCTAGATCTAATTATAATTTTTCATTACTTTGACAAACAGGTTGCATTCCTGACCATTCTCCATCAGCCATGCAGCTGCGTGTACTGCTTCCTACCAGTTTAAACCCTGGTCTGCACTGGAAGGTAGCAGTTGAGGGGAAGGTGGTCCCTGGATAAAAGGTCACTCCACCATTAGCTGGTTTCTTAAGTGTGCCACAGTCAATAGCTAAAGAATATAATTATAATAAACAAGTCTCAAATTAAAGGAAACAGCATACGTTGACAGATAGGAGCTTCACTGGAATATTTTCCATTTGGTTGACAGGCAGATATAGGATTTCCAACAAGTGTATAGCCAGCATTACATGAGTAGACAACTGTGCTTCCAAGAGTGGTAGCATTGAATTGCATTGAACCATTAGGATCTGCTGGATCAGGGGCACCACAATCAACAGCTAATGAAATACAAATATAATGAAGTGGCTTGAAGAATGTAAGGTCTAGTTCTTACGTTGACATGTAGGAGCATCATCAGAATAAGTTTTATCATTTTGACAATAAATGGTAGCACTGCCAACAAGGAAGTATCCAGTATTACATGAGTAAGTGGTTTTATCTCCAAGAGAAGTTCCTTCAGTTGACTCAATCTGGCCATTAGGATCAGAAGTTGGTTGATCACCGCAGTCAATTGCTATATAATACAAATTGTAGGCTATATGTAACGGAATTAGCTTACGGTCACAAGTAGGAGCAGAGCCACTCCACTGGCCACTAGCTTGGCAAGTCCTTACAACATCAGAGCTAAGTTCATATCCTAGTTTACACCTGTACAATGCTTGACCTCCTAACAGTGTATTGGGTGAAATATGAACCCATCCATTTTCAGGGTTATCCAAGTCTCCACAATCAACAGCTGAGTATTGAAATAATTGATAATCAATAAGTACATGAATAAAAAGTTACTTACGAGTACAAGTTGGTTCAGATCCTGACCACTGGCCACTGGCCTGGCATGTCCTCACACTGTCTCCTTGTAGTGTATACCCATCATTACATGAGTAGGTAGCATTACTACCTAACATTGTATCAGGAGCAATTGATACCTCCCCATTAGCAATGTCTGATAGGTCACCACAATCAATACCTAAAAGGTTATTGTCATGCTAAATAGTAATTATTATTATGAGCAGTATTTTGCTTACGTTGACATGTAGGAGCCTTATCAGAATATGTTCCGTCATTCTGACAGTAAATAGTCTCTGATCCTTCAAGTGTGTATCCAGCATTGCATTGATAAGCAGTTTGATTTCTGAGGGAAGTTCCTTGAGTGGCTTTAATTGAACCATTAGGATCAGGTTCGGGTTGAGGGCCACAATCAATTGCTATTAGCAAACAATACACCAGTAATTAGCTACAACAAGGTCAACTTGACTTACGGTCACAAGTAGGGGCAGAGCCACTCCACTGGCCACTAGCTTGGCAAGTCCTTACAACATCAGAGCTAAGTTCATATCCTAGTTTACACCTGTACAATGCTTGACCTCCCAACAGTGTATTAGGTGAAATATGAACCCATCCATTTTTAGGGTCATCCAAGTCTCCACAATCAACAGCTAAAAACTGAATAAAAATATGTTTCAAAGCTTCTTAAGCTTACGGGCACAGGTTGGTTGAGATCCAGACCACTCCCCATTAGCTTGACACATTCTCATTGAGCTTCCTTGTAGTGTATATCCATCATCACATGAGTAGGTAGCATTACTACCTAACATTGTATCAGGAGCAATTGATACCTCCCCATTAGCAATGTCAGGCAAATCACCACAATCAATACCTAAGAAATGTTTTATTAATTCATGTATGTAATTATACTGGCATTGGTTTACGTTCACATGTAGGAGCATCATCAGAATAAGTTTTATCATTCTGACAATAAATGGTAGCACTGCCAACAAGGAAGTATCCAGTATTACATGAGTAAGTGGTTTTATCTCCAAGAGAAGTTCCTTCAGTTGACTCAATCTGGCCATTAGGATCAGAAGTTGGTTGATCACCGCAGTCAATTGCTATAGTATAAAATAGAATATAAATTGTATGCTATATGTAATATGAATTATCTTACGGTCACAAGTAGGGGCAGAGCCACTCCACTGGCCACTAGCTTGGCAAGTCCTTACAACATCAGAGCTAAGTTCATATCCTAGTTTACACCTGTACAATGCTTGACCTCCAAACAGTGTATTAGGTGAAATATGAACCCATCCATTCATAGGGTTGTCCAAGTCTCCACAGTCAACAGCTATTAGATATAAAGATATACTATAATCTGCTTTTAAATTTGCTTTTACTTACGTCTACAAACTGGTTCTTGTCCAGACCATTTTCCATTAGCTAGACAAGTCCTTGTGTCATTACCAACTAGTTTGTATCCACTGTTGCAAGTGTATGTAGCAGTACTACCCAATCTAGTATCAGGATGTATAGATACAGCTCCATTAGCAATGTGAGGCAATGGACCACAATTGACACCTAAAGGATGACATTAATGAACAATACAATATTAAAGAAGCGACTCACGTTTGCAGATTGGTGCCATTCCAGACCAAGTTCCATTGCCTATGCACAACCGAATGTGAAATCCAACCAATACATATCCTTTATTGCAGGAATAGATAGCTTTGTGTCCAAGATATTGACCAGTAACATTCACTTTACCACCAACTGGAGCACTAAGCTTTGGACACTTAGCTCCTACAGTAACATATAATAAGAGTTTTAATGTATAATGTACTATGTACATACGTGGATGGTAATATGATCCATAGCCACTTCCATACTTAACCCCAGCACTTGAGCCCTGGTGATGGTGGTATGGAGGCTGAGGAGGAGTACCAGAGGTTCGAAGGACCCTCTCTAAAGTAGCAGCTGCTGAGAAAGAAAGGAAAGTAATAAAAAGTAAGACGATTCCAAGTTTAGGATTCATGATTCCTGAAAAATTTAGTACAGCCTCTATCTCCTTTGCCACGTCTTTATATAAGCTTGGAGCTTTTGTGGGCAGACATTGAAACTCTTGTCTAACAAAATGATTATCGAACGCTCTAAGTCTTAACATATCTTCCTTAGTCACAAGTAATCTCGTGTACAGTCAAAATTCTATTATTAGAGTGAAGCATGATATGTATAGGGCCATTAACATTAAGACGCATTATTGGGTTAAGGACACAAGCCGTGTCAACATGTGGGAATCATGTCTATGCTGATGCGATCAATTTCAGCTAATGCAGTGGTGTTTATAAACGCAAACAAGCATTCATAAGAGGGTTGTGCTGTACATGTACATGAGGGGCCTAAGAAAATGTAACAAGTATTGTGTTGTAGCTTAATTATTATAATATATTGTCATAACTCATAAAGCATACACATAAAAGACATCCACGAGTAAAATGTTAGCATAATAATAGCAAAACACATAAAACAACAACAACAACAACAACAACAACTAATAATAATAACAACAATAATAATAATAATAATAATAATAATAATAATAATAATAATAATAATAATAATAATAATAATAATAATAATAAGTCAACAACAGTATAGCTTTATGAAGAATTAAGTTCCTAAATGTCTTTGGCAATAACAATTAATAATAATAATAATAATAATCATAAGCTCTACACTTCACATCATTAGTTTTTCTATCTAGCTCTTTCCTCACTACACTTCCGTTTCTTTGCTGTCCTTGAAAACAGGATTATCTCCAGCATTGTAGCGAGAGGATTTTGGTGTGAGTGTGTAATGGGGGAGTTGGGACAGAAGGAGCTGATCGTTTGACTCCAATCCTGACTTGAATGCATTGACGACACGAATCTAAAAGAAATGAAATATAAAATACGCAATTACATTAAACTACATGTACATGTATACGGGCTGTACAGCAAACTCACCTGTGTCCTGAGACGGCTCAGTGATTTGGCCCACAGAAGACGAGCTCTGTTAGCGTCATAAGAATCGAGACCAATGTCATAATCATTTTCATCTGAGGGAAAAAAAAGGAATGTGAAAGAATTGTTTATAGGAAGAAATGAATGCAGTTATACTATTAGGGTTTCACAAACTTAACAGACAAGAGGTCAATTATTATTTGAAATTTAACATAAAATTTTGATCGGAATCAGCTCAAACTTTCTAAACAATGACCCTGTACAATAGTACAGGGACTTTGGCCAGATTTTGGTGGAACTTTAAAAATTTTGAATTTTAAGGCAACTTATCTACATGTACATGTATTGATAATTTCCAATTGAAAACTTTTATCATGTACACATACATGTCCTTTTTGTACAGTTTCAGTGCAAAACATTAATAAAACATACATGCATATTTGTAAATACTGGCATTGAAAAGGACGTAATATTTTCAAAAACACCATAAAGCATAATCATTTAACTAGAAAAGTACAAGTTAGTACAAAAACAACACAATTATACATGCCATTCATTTACGATACATAAGGATCACACACGATGCTGATGGGGGAAATTTACGCAGCTGAGGAAGAAACAAGATATGCTTTTGCTTTATGAATGGACTTCACAGATGGGCGCTTTTATCTGTCTGAGTTTGGACTACACAGCTGGGTTTACACAGCAACACAAAACACGTCTTTATGATAGTATTGTGCTTTTCACACCTTAGCCCAGTATTGGTCTTTTGACACATTTGCCTGTAAACTACATGATACAGGGATTTACGGAGCACTGGATGATAGCCTTATACTGGCTTAAGGTGCTAACATGCGTCCTGATACTAACTCATTCATCAATCATTATCTGGGAGCTTAACTAGTAAGTACATGCATGGACACTGCTTATCAGTCTTTTGCAGAGTCTAAAACATATATCTCTCCTGTAAAAACTAAGAACTTAAAGAACTGAGAACAACAGCATTGTCTGGACAAAGGAGATGCACCTTTTATCATTGCTTGTGCAGTCTTAGTGATAGCAACAAGTGTATAATGATAGTAGACTTTTGAAATATGATATCATTATTGATTACATTCAAATGAGTTCCTGAAACATGAGACACACATAAAACACGAGTTACAGACATATCACATGAATCCCGTTTCTTGAAACAAGACATGCAACGTACCATTATTAAACGCAACATTTGTCCTAATTTTCAGAAAAACAAAACCATATATGTATACTATAATTAAGTGAGAGTTTGCCATGATAAAGGAGGGGAGTCTTAATGAATCAGTATTTTTTTACACAAATTCTTCCAACAAAATAATTCATTTGCTACCTTGTTGGTCGTCACTCTTTTTCCTCCAAGGTAGTCGTATAGCAGGGAACCTCTCTACTGGTATTAGTGTGAGTATTTGACCCCAAACAAGCTCAAATGAACCAAAGAAGATGCACCACATCCACAGATCAAATGAAAGTGATGTAGCTTTGAATATTCTATCATTCAGGCCGGGGACAACAATGAATAAGATCTGTATAATGAAGTATAATTATAATATTATTTAATGACTGAAAATTACAGAATGTCATATACTGTACATGTCTTATTACATATTTAATGAAATTAATCAGGATTGGCATTCAGTTTATAAAACAATTCCATTATTGTACATTGTAGCATAAACATACATGTACATGTACATGCATATCCACAACTACAGGCAAAAAACTTCATGACATAACCTGAACATGTACATGTACATTTCAGTGTTTCTATATGGAACTACATGTACCTGACAAATAACTTGGCCAAACATGATGCCAAGGAATATCCAGTTGGTGTGTATGTTAGCGAAAACGTTTTGTTCTCCGTGGATCCTACGAGCGTTAAACTCATTGAATATTTGCATGAAGACAAACGAATTGAATATCATTGTAAAGTGTTCGGTGGGCTCGGCAAAATAATTTTCACTTGCAGACTGGGTGTGATCGATATCAAATAGCTCTGGCCCGGCAAAGAGGAGGACGTTAAGAACCACCAGCTGGTAGAAGGAGTGTCCGATGATGAATAACCACATTCGACGAGATATTAGAGGCTTCTTGCGACCGTACGGTTTTCTCTTTAGCAATGCATCGGTAGGTGCTTCAGTAGCAAGAGCAAGACTGGCAAAAGTATCCATGACAATGTTAACCCAGAGGAGCTGTATGGCACGGAGTGGAGTGTCTCCGATAGTAAAGGAGCCAATGAGTACTAAGGTAACGGCTACCACATTGACCGTCAGTTGGAACTGAAGGAACTTTGAAATGGCATCGTAGACGTTGCGTCCCCATTTAACGGCTTGGACGATACTCGTAAAGTTATCGTCTGTTAGGATAATGTCACAAGCTTCTTTAGCAACGTCTGTACCAGCAATACCCTAAAAATGAGAGAGAAAGGGAGACAAAATATCATCAGAGAGAGATATATTAATAAACATGTGCTCATGTCTTTACCATAGCAAACCCAACATCGGCACATTTAAGAGCAGGTCCATCGTTAGTTCCATCACCAGTGACAGCCACAACCTCTCGGCTCTTGTTGACGCGGGACTGTATGATACCGTTGACCAGAGTGTGTTTATCTTGTGGTGAAGATCTTGCCAAAACACGCAATCTGGGCCATATTTTGTCAAGCATCTCTTGATTAACCTAATGGAGAGAGAGAGAGAGAGAGGGGGGGGGGAAGAAATTAGAGAAAAGAGAGAGTTAAGACAAGGTACATGAACATGAACAGTTAGTAAGAGAATAAACTTTGGTGGAGATGATATATGAAGAGAAATTAATGTCAATCAAACCAGTGTACACTGTAAACTAATGATACAAGTGCACTGTACATGTACATGTACAGCTTACCACTTCTTTTCCATCTTCTGTGACTGTCATTACTCTCTTTCTAAAAGTCGGTCCATCAAGTACAAGGAGTCCTTTGTTTCCTTTAGGGATGATCCCACACTTCTCTGCTATACTCTTTGCAGTCTCAACATTATCACCAGTAACCATACGGACTGTTATACCAGCTCTCTGACACTTTAATATGCTCTCAGGGACCTAAAATAAAATTTAAAAAATAATAATAAAAATTAATATTCTTATGCGAAATGTTGTTGTGGAGTGCCATATACACGTACATACATGTACTGTATGTATGCATCACAAAAAGGAAAAATAGTAAATAATTTCTGTATGTACATGCAAATTAAATTGAAGAAATTCCACACAAGTTAACACAACTATAAACCATTACCACACACAGACACTTATCAATCAGACCCACCTCGTCTCTGACAGGATCTTCAATTCCGACAATAGCAATACAGGTCAGTCCCGAGACGACATTATCCTCATCGTCCCAGTCAAAAACAGGCGGCTCCACTGACTCGCTTAAATTAACAATCTCAAGCCCCTGGCCCTGTTCAACATTGGACTTTGGAGCAGTTACTTCTTCCATTGTGAAATCCCTAAAGATATAATTGGCATTAAATCAATAATACATGTACATGCACATAATGAATACACGTACATGCAGTTAAACACAAGATCTACTGTACCTGTAGGCTAGGCAGATGGTACGTAATGCTCCTGAAGCCATGTTACGCACCACATTAGAATTAACATGTGAAGACATGTCATCTGTAAGCGGAACAATCTGAAGACAAAAAAGGCACAATGATACATGAAAGTATAATAGTTAAATATAAAACAATTTCTATACATACAGTACTACATGTAGTTTCTCTCTTACCTCTCCAGTGGCAGTCATTATTTTGTCACATTTATTGAGGACAATCTCAGAAGCTCCTTTTGTCAACAATCTGAATCCTTTGCCATCAGGGAGTGGTATGACGGTACTCATGCTCTTTCTTTTTGAGTTAAAAGTGAACTGTTTAACGAAACACTCCTTTGGGTAAACCTCGCGTATCGGATCATAGTGGATACCCAATTCAATTAAGTAGCCTGGAATAATAATAATAATAATAATAATAATAATGATGATGATGATGTACATGCATATGATACTAGTTGCTTACCAAGTAAAGCACATTCGGTTGAATTACCAACCTGATTCACCAATTTACCACCTTCTCCTCTTACCAGACCTAAAAAAACAGACATTTATATATGTACATGTACGTACATGCATTTGTACATGCATACTAGCATTAAAACATAAAAATACAACTATAGTCTAGGTCACTTATATTCAATTTTTAATTACATGTTAGGATTATTTACTTTTTAATTCATTGACAGTTAGTGGTTTCTTAGTTTCACTCTCTTTGGCTTCAGCACCAATCTTTCTTTTACGACGAGAAAAGAAACTAGACACTTTGCTAAGCAAACCATCATCATTGGCAGCAGCAGATTCAGGCTACATAAAGAAAATAAATAAAATAAAAGAAAGAGATGACATGTACATAGTTACATACATGTACATGTATATGTACATGCATACAAAACAAGTGTGATGCATGTACATGTACATGCTATTAATGAGTACAATGTGTGTATTAGTATTTCTAATCCCAAAAGAGAAATGTCTACATCAAACGGAAATTATGCCTCACAACTTAGGACTGACATCAAATCTCTTGAGAATTTTATAAATCGAAATAAAATCAATTTAACATGTGTACCAGCTTATACCATGTACGCAATGTTAAGCAAAGAAAGTTGTACTTGTACAAGCACATACATGTACATGTACATGTACCTTTAAAATATGGAAGTTGAAAAAGGCACAAAATACATAAACAACAACAACGATAATAGCAATAACAATAACAATAATAATGACAAAAAAACAAAAGCCCACGCACCTGCTGTAGTGAAGACGAGTAATTGCTATTGATAGCGATATTCTGTTGCAATACTTCCAGGACTGGAGGGGGGAAGTTCTCTGCAGTGGGAGTGTTACCGTTATACCTCATCTGTGCCACATAGCTATCCACAACTGTCATTCTATTGGTCGTCAGAGTCCCGGTCTTATCCGAGCAGATGGTCGTGGCGTTACCCATTGTCTCGCACGAGTGAAGGTGACGAACGAGATTATTATCCTTGAGCATCTTCTTGACAGAGAAGGCTAGAGCTATGGTCACTGCAAGTGGGAGACCCTCGGGAACGGCCACGACGATGACAGTCACCCCATTAATGAAGAAGAGGAGGAACTGGAGGGCGTCGGTCTTCATCGCACCTCGTCCCTTGATGCCATACTCTTCAATAGCAAACTTCAGTGAAGTGACAACTATAGCAAGAATAGCGGCGGCCATGCCAAAGTATCCAATCTGTAGAGCCAGCTTAGTGAGTTTCTTCTGGAGTACACTCCCGTGTGATGTCTCGCCTAAAAATAAAAAAAATTAAAAAAATCGCGTGCATGCACGTGTAGAATGGTTGTACTCTAATTAAAAGATTTCGGTGTAACTACAATTAATAATGCTCTACACTAACCTTTTTGCTGTTCCCTCCTTTTCTTCTCTTTCCTTGCTCTTCGGTTCTTCATGGCAGTCTTGGGATGCAGAATTTTCTGACAACAGCTCAACTCTTCCAATTCCTCTTCCTCTTCTTGCATCTCTTCTGCTCCTCTTGGTGGTATTTCCTGAAAATAATGATCGTTATTATAATAAGAACCACGTACACATGTGCATGTGTGTATACAGTCCATTAAATGTACAAAAGGATATGGTAGAATGAGAAAGAAAGAAACAGGAGAGAGAGAGAGAGGGGAGGAGAAAGAGAGGGGGTGAGAGAGAGAAGGGGTCACTATTGGAACAGGCACTGCCTATTAGTGACACAAAGTTTATAAATACTATTAATGAAGGTACACAAAACAATCCTTATATCTTCAAGTTAAATAGGAAGAGGCCATTATGCAACTGAAAACATTAATAATAGATGCACATACTGTATGTATCATGTACATGCACATAAAGAGCCATGAAACAGAATCAGTGAAGTATGTCGTATATACAAGCATGGATTATATGGATGGATTGACTATTCACACATTTTTAAACACATGAGATGTACACTGTATTTACAAAAACAATAGAGAGGAAAGAAAAAGAAAAGTGAAGGGAAAAGAAAAGAGGTTGAGAGTCAAAGGGACTCTTCCAGACAGACAGACACAAGCAGAATAATATATTGTACATACATGCACATGTACCACCACATGTACCTATACATCATACATATTGTACAATGCCACTGCTTATATGGAGATTTCAATAAAACTTGGTGACTTTTCAATTGCCAAATAATTTTGCCAAATCAATGTGTACAACATCAAGTGCGTGTGAGCATAATTATCATCATCATCATATTTACTTTTATTTCTACTTTGACTGGTTTCACTTCTTCATCTTGAGGATTCGTACGATTTCTGTATGCACGTACACACGGGCCAGTTATCTTCCTAAAAGCAGCTGTGATGATACCTAATAGAGAGAGAGGAGAGAGGGAGAGCGAAGAGAGAGAAAGAGAGGAGAGAGAGAAAGAGAGAGACAGAGAAGAATTAAGAAGAGGAGAGGAAGAAGGAAGCATGTAGTGAAGCAGGAAAGAATGAGAGAGTGAGTATAGTACAAAGCAGGAAAAGGAAGGAAGAATAGGTTTGATGCATTATCATGATGTCATGAAAAGAGAAGTTAGAGATCAAAAGGCCAGCTAGTGTATATACACATGTGGCATGGGCATAGGCAATATAGCTTACCAACTTCCTCTTCAGCTTGCTTGGACATTAAAGTAAATATTATGCCTTGTTGTGAGTGAATGCCTACAGCTATCACCAACATTGTACCAGTGCCTTCCATTACCTGTGAGAAAGGAGAGAGAGAGAGAGAGAGAGAGAGAGAGAGAGAGAGAGAGAGAGAGAGAGAGAGAGAGAGAGAGAGAGAGAGAGAGATACAATTTAATCATATACATGCATACATGCACGTCCCAGACACACTACCTAATGTACATGTATGTGTACATACACTCTACACTACAACTGGAATCATAGCAATGGCTGTAAAAATGTGATACAGGAAGAGGAACACAATGTACATGTGCAGACAGCAGACAGTGTGAATATAATCTTGTACCCATGAAGGACGTGAATAACAATGTGCATGGGAACAGTTAGTACAAACACACACCTGACACAGAGACAGTGACACATACGCTGCTCACTGCTGCTGCTTATAATGTAAATTTTCCAGTCGCTCATAACGCATTACATACATTTTTACATTCATTTACATGCGATTTTATCAAAGCGGAAGTATTCATTATCACTATGGTGACCCACAAAAGTTCTTAGAATCTTAGTGTTAATGTTTATAAGAACAATCAAGACAGCTGGAGACTACAATTACAATTACATTCTACAGGAGATGAGAGAGGCAGAGAAAGAGAGAGGCATAGAGGAAACCAGCAATTAGATGGTGATCTCATAGGAACAGAGCTTCTCTCTCTTCACTCTCACTATTTTAGCAATTAGCATAACATCCTATTCCCATATCCTGTCATGAGAAGGTAGTAAAATAACAGTCTGCTCCCTAAACAGGAAATACCAGACTAGCAGATACACAGTGAGCCAGCAAATGAATAGTAGTGCTACTTTATCCCACTCACCCTGACTAGTGTCACCGACTGTGTAGAGTAACATTAATTACATGTATGCATGTGCCTCTTCTTCAACGAGTCACGTGTAAATCTTACTTTAGTGTCTTTCTCCCCTTCCCTCATCCCCCCCTCTCTCTCACACATCCATATGCTCGAGCTCTTTATCTTTGAGCACAATACATGAACTCCAAATATGATATATCACATAAATGTAATAAGTGCATGGCACTTCCTGTCTTCATACATACATGTACATGTACATGTACATACATGTAAAATATATGATAAATGTTATTCTTCCTCTATCTTAATTATACACATACACAAATGTCATTTGCAGTTGCTAAATAAATATGAGGACACCCACAAAATGGGAGAGATATACATGCATACATTAGTTGCATTATGAAAATAATGACACTTTAAGTTGCTATAGTGATGGATGTATCAGTCAAGCATCACTAAATTTTATTTATTTTCAATCAAAACTTCACAGTTACGCTTACATGTATTAACGTGCAACTATTTCAATCAAAGCAAATTAAAGGATTTCTGGTGTTATAATATCAGTGACACATACTATTTCAACTGAAAGATCATTGTAAACATACTCCATAATGGGAACATTTACTTACCAGGACACATCAGATGTGTATGTCCCATGTCAATGCATGCACAAGTGTCTTACCTGTGTACCGGCATAAAGGAAAGGGTCCTTGTCAGGTCTCTTGCGTATGTTTTCAGTCTCTCCAGTTAGTGCCGACTCTGAGATGCTCACGTCGTTCCCGCGGATCAAGAGACCGTCACAGGGAAAGGCGTTACCATACTTGAACTCTATAATGTCGCCGACTATTATATCAGCAGCATTGATCTCGAATCTCTCAGACTCACGGATAACGGTATACCTTTAAAAAAGGAAATGTTGATAAAAATTAATTGCAAGTTAGTTATTACAAGTGACATATATATGTATTGTCTACATCTCTCTCTCTCTCTCTCTCTCTCTCTCTCTCTCTCTCTCTCTCTCTCTCTCTCTCTCTCCTCTTTCTAATATTTTACTACATAAAAGGTCACATATGAGTGATAAAAGATAGTTTAGGACACACACTAATTGCACTTTAAATATAAATGTACACAATACAGTCACATGTATGCCTAATTACAGGAAGTGTTACAGTAATTGCCACATTCTATGGTTACACTTTTCATTTCTTACTTTGAAGTGCTTTCCAGTTTCTTCTGCAAGTCCCTGAACTGTTGCTCTTTAGTGTAGTCATTGATTGCTGTTACCAAGACGACGATCACAACGGCGAGGAATATGGCAAAACCCTCAAACCAGGCAGTGCTTCTCTCATGCTCAGCGATACCCACACTTAACCCAATCGATATTATGGCACACACTAGAGAGGAGAGAGAGAGAGAGAGAGAGAGAGAGATGAAGAATAATTTAAAAGTGAAACTAAAACTCTTACATAGCAATATAAGTAGTATCTTGTCTTGGATGGCATCATACATCAGAGCCAAGAATGACTTGGGAGGAACTGGTTCTATATAATTGACACCAAATTCCCTTTTCCTTTCCTCGTGATCAGCCTCGTTCACCGGGAGTCCATCTGTAAGATTTGTCTTTAAGTGACGGGCTATGTCATCTATCCCTCCATACTGATCCACTTTCTTCATTCCACTCTTGTCACCGAAATCCATAATCTGAGTCAACTGGACTTGAGTAAGCCCAAACCTTTTGTCACTGGAGGCTGGAGTGAGGGCAGAAGCCTCTGAGGTCTTGTCATTTGGTGATTGCTCATCCATAATGCCAAGAGTAGATCTACTAATTATTTATATACAATACTCAAGTATGGCAAGTGATGGAGAGGTCTTTGTGGAGATAAATATAACACTGTCTCTTGATTCTTTCCTCTTCTTCACCTGCACGGTAGGAATAGATCCTGTTCAGGAGAGGGAAAGGAGGTGAGAAAGTGAGGGAAAGAGAGAGAAAAATCAAAGAGGAGGTAAGAGGGAAAGAAAAGGATAATAAAGAGAGATAGAGATGAGGATTAGTACATTACAACTAACCAAAAATAGAGAAAGAGAGAGCCAAGTCCAGTCAACTACAAGTGAAAATATTACACCTCAACAGACAAACTCGCCTTCTCCCTTTCCACTTATCAGAGAACCCTCGGAATACAATATACAGAGAGAGAGAGAGTAAGTGAAACGCCAAGTAACACTTCTATAAGTAAATGGGAGTCGCCCTAGTCTAGATCTAACGAGAAAGGTCGACGCTGCTGGGCTGGCAGGTGGCTCTCTTGTTATATTGATGACACAGGCAGGAAGTGGCTATGGTAAAATGAGACCATGAATGTTGGCACATCCTCTCCCAACCCGGCCCTCCCTTCCTCTTGTTAATTCATACCATGAATACAATAGAGATGATTCCAGAGTACTGACTGTTAAATTTAAAAAGAGCAAAGTGTAGCGATACATGTACTTACACTTAATGATGTCAAGTACAAGTACATGCAAAAGTCGTCATTTTTTTATCATGATTATTATCTAGATGTACATTAAAGAAGGATGATTGCTTAAATTTGACCTTTTGGAACACAAGATAATTAATCTACTTTGGATACCTTATAAAAGATAATAATCATTATGAAAACAATGTACATGCATACATGTACATGTGTATTAGGATTGCAAGTCATATTAATAGTACAGAGAAGGTTAAATGAAAATTTTTGCATAAGTAGCAAAATGAAACACAAAAACTGGTTAAGTAGAACATAGCAAATACATGTACGTCACAATGATGAATAATGACATGCACATTTCGCTACAAAGAGATACCGAAAGTCAATTAAATGAAAATAGATGGAGAGAAAAAGACAAAAGAAATGAAACAGAAAGTTTTGTGCTACATGTGTACTTTGCACAAGAAAATACTGCATTGGAGGTACAGGGAAAGACTAAAGGGACTCTCCCCTCTAGTTGACTTTTGCCTTCTTTGCTTCTTCGCTAAAAAGTAAAAAAAGAATAAAGATAAAATTTAAAAAAAGAATAAAGATAAAATTATCATTGAACAAGTTTATCATACAACAACAGTGTAGTACACATGATGTGTATAATGATACGATACATTAACTTACGCAGCTGGAGGGGAGGAGGCAGGTCTCTTAGCGACAGCAGCTGCAGCTTTATCGGCAGGCTTTGGATCCTGGAGCCACCTCACTTGAGTAGCAGGGCCATACCTTATAAGGAAAGGATACAAATGTACATGCAATAGCTATAGGCCCTCTCTTAATCTTCTAACTCCCTCACCCCTTGTCATTCTTAGCTGCAATACGGAATATGATGGCTGGCTTTGATGTCATGTCAATATGAGCAGATCCTAACTGACTGTGAGACACTACACAAGAACTTCCAGGACCACAATAAACACTAGAGAGAGAGAGAGAGTGAGAAATAATCATTAATGCATTAGATGTACAGTATATAATAAGTACAGTGCTAGACTATAGTATTATGCACCCAGTGTACATGTTAATGTAACATACCGTGCAAATGCCATTGTACCGGGCTGTGCCCCAGCTTGAGGCTTAAGACCAAGATACACTGAATACTCTGATATTGTACCAGCTGAATTAGCAGGAGGTTCCCATGACAAATGAGCTCCTTCAGAACTCTACAGCAAAAAAATAAAATATAATAGGACACATCAGCTCCTTTACCTTGCTGATCCTAATGGCAGATGGAGCTCCAGGGAAACCTGGCATGCATGTTTTGAAAGCAGCAACTTCGGAGAATGGACCACGCCCACATGAGTTCAACCCGCAGACCCGAAACTTGTAGGCACGCCCTGAGAGAAGCTCTACCCGCTGGAGCTTTGTCTCTCCTGCCTGCAAATAATAACAATCATAACATGCTGTTAAAACTATAATATTATTACCATAGTGGGGTCTTCAACAGATACTTGATAAGCAGTAACAACATACTGTGTGCCCTTAATAACGTCAACATCATACCACTTGCTCTGTTCGGCAGGAGCAGGAGCAGGAGCAGCAGGGGGCGGGGCAGTGGGAGGAGCTCCAGGTTTAGTCTCCTCTCCTTTTGGAGGCTGAGTTGCTGTTGGTGTAGTAGAAGATGAGGAGGAGTACTCTTGGACCTGGAGCAGGTAATTATCAGCTGAAGGAAAAATAAAATTTAACATTAAAAAAATCAACCACCCACACATTTAATTAAAATGCAACTTGACAACTAGAAAAAATTTCGTTGCATATATCACATACACAAAACTAAATCAACCATCACGTGCAATTAAAAATTAAAAATCACAATCAAAATGTTTTGCTAACCAGAGGAAATGGCTGTCCAAAGTAACTCAAGGCTATGCGTGCCGGCACGTACCAGCTGGACTCTAGCAGGAGGAGGGGGTATCTCAGTCTCCAGGTACCACAAATCAGAACAACAAACTTGCTGCATAAAGAGACAAGCATGTAAACGATGTACACATACAGTACATGTACATGTAAATGACATTTTTTACATTTTATGTACATGCGTTAGGTGATGAAGGACTACGGTGTGAATATACATACATTATGTATGACGACACAACTCTCTCCCTACCTGACTGTTCCATACTTTCTTGTACCCATCCCTTCCACTCCATACGTACATGCGGGTACCAACCACGGCAGCACAGGAGCCGGCTCTTGGTCCAATGACATCATCACGATCATCGGTCTCTGGATAATTGGGGCATGGCTCCCAAGAGCTGGTATCTAAAAATAAAAATACAGTGTAGTAATTAATTTACTATTAAATTTTATCATACAATACATATGGTGGGCTGTATGCGTGTACATGTACAGATCTTAATGTCACTATAAATGATCTATTTTATAGAACAAGTGAGCATGAAGTACATACATTGTACAGTACCTAATTGTATGGATCAGTATTGTGTATGATGTCACTAATGTGGAAGGTGTGTGTAAAAAGGGATGGAGGGAATGAAGCACATGTGTATCAGTATGTAAATAAAGGAAGAATGACTCAACAGGTAGCTATAGCTACATGCATAGTAACTGCTGGAATACATGAATAATATAACAGGAAAGGCATAAGGAAGAGAAAAAAATGAGTACTCACTTATTAATCTGCAGCATATACATGTATATACATACATGTATGATCATACTGTTGTACAATATACCAGTATTATGCTACAACGTGTGTAGGCACATGTATAGGCAATTAGGCATATGGACACAAATACTTAGCGCTAACTGTCAGCAGGAATGCTAACAAATAATCACAGTAACAGCTAGTGAGTGAAGGAAGCATTGGATGAGTAGAGCAAGTGTCTGCTGCGTCAATACATGTGTGTATTAAATATGAGCATTCCATTGATCATCAAATAATGTATAAAGACATGAGACAGGAAGGAAGGAGAGCATTGCTAGTACAAAGGAATGAGTGGTTGAGCATCCTTGGAGTGAGTACAAACTTTTGTTTACATTTAACAGCTAGCTATATATATGAAGCAAATTAAAGGTTATACATTATACGTGTGTGATCAAGTATGTGCATACTGGTATTATAACTAACCAAGATTAAAGCAAGCAAGTGAATTGGTGCACTTCCATTCAGCTTCATGAGCCTGCTCGCCCTCTTTGTTCATTACAGGCACCCAACCACCAACTGTGTACATCCTAAGTCAAGATACAAAGACCATGCATACATGTACATGTATATAAAGAGAAATATGTAATTATTAAAATAAATAAAATGAGAAACTACACGTTCTTTTTCCTACATGTGCATGTACATGCATGCATTATTAACCTGTTCTTAATGATAGCCGATACATGAAGGCTCCTTGGCAATGGAACTTTACCCTGAGATGCAACGTTGGTCCATTTCCACGGGTCCGTCTCAAGTATCCAAAGGTCCCCCAGTCTCTTCCCGTTCATCCCACCGTACACAACCAGTTTGGTCCCCCATGTAATGGCAGTGTGGCTCTCACGCACAGGAGGGATGGGACCGTCAAAAGTAGGCGCATGCCATTGGAGAGAAGTCCCTTCCTTTATCTCAAGGAGTTGAATGTCATTGAGGTACCTAAAAGTATACAGTAGTATGGTAACAGTATAGTAATGAGGGTAATGTAATAATGGTATAGTTTGAGGGGGAGAGAGAGAAGCAAGTGAAATACTTTGGTATGTTAAGTTTAGGATCATTTGATTCGTTTGCCAAACCGCCAAAGATGATCGCCTTCTGTCCAACAAGATTAAATGAATGACCAAGACGAGGGCAAGGGGGCTCGCCGAGTGGAGTCAACCTCCGCCACTCCCACCTACTGGCCAGTAGCTCATACAACTATAATCATAATAAATGATGATAATGATAATAATAATAATAATAATAATGATAATAATAATAGTACTATATAATAATTATTATTATTTTAAAATCAATAAGTGATAATATTGACACCAACACATTTAATTTAAAAAAAATCAAAACTGGCCCTTCCCTGCTGTACAAATATTTAAATAGTCTCACGTCATTCGAATAGCGTCCAAATTCAACCATTCCTCCGAATGTAAGGAGCCTGACTCCATCACAGATGAATCCAAATGCAGCGCAACCGCTCGGCTTCTCTCCTTTAACCTGTGGGGCAAACCATTGATTGGTAGCTGTATAAAAGAGAGACATGACATTACATGAAAGTGGCGGGGAATAAATAATAATAATAAAGACGCGTATCCGCCATTTTTTACCAGTGTTCAGCACGTGGAGAGTGTCTATAATGCCATCATTGCCTCCTCCGAATATAATAATGAGCTCTTTAATGGAGACAGCCTTGTGCCCATGCCTGGGTTGAGGAGAAGGGCCAGTGGTTGTTGTTATCTTTCTCCACTTAAGATTTAAGGCAGCTTCGCCCTCCGCCGTTTCCGCCATTTTAACACCGGCGAGAGAACCTGATCACGTGATCCGAAACGCTAAATTATTCAGTTTTGATAGGGTTAAATTTTGCCTCTTTAACGGGTTAATTAAAAAAACATGGCCCACCCACATGTGGAGACTAGGTTTCCAAAGAGAGTGACAAAACTGTCAAAAAGAGAAGGCATCAACGGACCTAGACAGTCCTGGGTCGATCTCAACGAAGAATACAGCTCTAGGAGGTCCAGAAGTGGTCTGACTGTCCTGGCAAACACGCCACAGAGGACTAGAAACACAGGGAGATTGTTTGGTTCTCATTCTCATCCTCAGCTACTGGGAGAGACAGAGGTCATTAGTTCCCAGGGAGCCTCTTTACTGCAAGAGAAACCTGCAACAAATGCCATTTGGGTGAGGAAAGCAGCACACCTTTTAGTCTGTATTGATAATTGTTTCGTATTGTTAATTTTGTTTATAATATGTATGCATACAAAGCAGAATGGAAAATTTTGCAAGATGTAATAATCTATTTGCAATTTCGATGCCTCTTGCAGTAATTGTGCGACAATCTTGCAGCAATTGTGCGGCAATTGTTTATGTCAATTTTAGTAAGCGAAAAAGAAATAAAGGCAGATATGACACCTCACCTTGAAAAACATACTATACACTTCATTGTCCTCCTCTCTTCTTGTTGCTGGGGAGTTTCACACCGGCAGAAATTTTGCAGAAATTTCACACCGTCAGTTTTCGTATGGTTTTTGTGCCAATATAGAGTATTACGTAAAAGAACGGGGCCATTGCGAATGATACTTGTTAGAGCACTTGAGCGTTAAAATGTTTAGATATTTGCGGCTGTTTTATGTTCCTCCTTATCTAAAAGCCTTTCTAGCTACACTTGCAATGTGCGGTTTGAACTTTGAACTTGTTTAGAAGTGATGCACATTCAATGGGCATAAAGTGATTCACACTATCTTCGGGATCTTATATAATGCCCATTGAAGTCAACTTGCATCAGGTGTGGAATGATTGGAACCAGTTTCAAACCAGTTCAATGCACATTTGAAGTGCTAATGTAGAAAGGCCTTTAATTATGATTTTCTTCTTCTCATCTTAAAGACTGGCAAAAAAATGAGTCGTAAAGAGAATGAAGAGAGTGATCAGTCCAAAACAAGTAAAAATAAAGTGAGTAATGAACTAATGATGATAATAATAATGTCTAAAAATACATGCAAAAAGACTTCTTTTTCCATTCAATGCTTGACCACAGGTTTTCGAAGAATGAATTTACATGTACATGCACAAGCCACTACTGAGCTAATAAGTGAATGGCTGTAGAGTTGTTTAATGTCAATAGTTACTTTAACTGCTTGTGGGTGGTGTTTGCAATTATGTCAGTTACATAATTTTAAAGACTCCTTTCTCCATTTTAGTCTGTCTCGTTTCAGACAGAGGATACTGCTTCTACTACTGCTCTGAAACTGCAAGTATGCTTAATAACTATTTATAATCATTAATAACTACTAATAACCATTAATAACTCATGTACTATAGGTGTCTGCATTACGTCAAGCATTAGAACAAGCTGGTACAGAGAAGAACACTCTTCGAGATTTACTGACAAAAGAGGAAGAGCATTCAGCGTTTTTGAATGTCCAGATATTAGAAGAAAGATCTAAGAACGGAACTGAGAAGGATAAGGTGAGAGAAGGCTTGTATAATGTGTTCATCATGAGTCTGTATTATGCTGTACAGTATTGCATTTTACATATCTGTGACTCTGTGTGTGTGTGTTTTTAATGCTAGAAGCTGATGGATAAGGAGGAAGAGATAGAAGGTCTAAAGACTCAAATTGGTCAGTTAAGACAAGAACTGGTCACCATGAGCCAAATTGCAAAAGTAATAGAGCATTAGTGAATTATTTAAAATTTGTCATGATTATTATTATTAATTTAACTTTTATTCAGAAGACACAAGCAGATGAAGCAGGGGATCAGGAGCTTCAAGGCCAGCTAAGAGAGAAGGAAGAACTGCTTAAGGAGTCAGAGAGAGAGCGTACTGCACTGAATGAGAGACTCACTGCGCTAGAAGTAGAGAGACAGCTGTCAATGATAAAGTATCAAGAAGAAATGGAGACTAGTGTAATGGCTGTTACTACACAGGTAACCAAGGACAACATTTTGTTTGTTTATTTGTTGTTGTTATTGTTATTATTGTTATTATTATAGTTGGAAGAGTTGTTGGATCTTAATAAGCAGCTCCAAGCTGAACTGACTCAATTGCAGACTGAGAGAGATGAACTAAATCTGTCACTGGAAAATGAGAAAAAGAATAAAGACCTTTTAGCCAAAGAAAAGGTAGCATTAATAATAAAAAATAATAATGATAATTTTGTCTTGGATACATTTATATCACTGTGTGTGCATTTAAATGAAGTTTACTGAAATATACTAGGATTTACTAGAACGTAAATGTACTAGAACAATCTTTAATTATCAACAAATGTTGCTGCTACAATGACATGGCCACCACTGTACCTTTTTCTTTGCGACGACCCGTCACTATTTATAGAATATTCCGAATTTGTTGAGAAATCGACATACTCTCTCTCGTTGTGTGCTATGGTTCTCTCTATCTTATCAGTCACCAGTTGATACGAGTTAACAATATTATCTCTGTCCCTGTACTTGTAGAAATGAGCAGCGATCATGTACGCAAAAATGGAGGCTAGGACCATCCCGAGACGTCCACAATGGAGGAATACGAGAGTCTTGTTTGGTTCTTCTTTTCTTGTAGTTACTATTTCTGCTTCTCTTATCCCTTCGTCCAATACGTCCATCATATACCATAGTCCGATTAGTAATCCCTGCATTGTGCATGGAGCTTGTGCTAGTATGAACTCGAGGGCCGTTAGGAACACAAGGACATTAGCAATGCCGTTTAGTACCTGCGGCGCTATGAGGTAGTAAGAGAATGTATTGCAATGAGATCGAGTTGATAGATCACTTTTGTACTCAAGCAAAGCTGTTATAGCTGTTGCTAAAATGGCAGAGAGAAGAGCAAAGATGAGTCCTAGAAAGATCCGTCTCGACATTTTTAGCCGTCGGTTCTTCAGACAACAAGGTTTTATGATAAGCTGGTAAGCCGGCACAAGTATTAGGATCGTGAGGCACCTCAAATGACTCGTGTCGGCTCTTATTATTATATTGCGAAGGTCTTTTTCATTTTCCGTGCAGTTATGATACAGCACACTCGCTATGCCTCTCGTGTTATGCGTCGTGAGATGGAGGCCAAACAGCGACATGAGTAGGACTGAGATTCGTAGAAATGTCTTGGTGTCTTCGACTTCTTCTGTAGTGAATGGTCCCCCGTACTTGTCCTTACCCACGTCAATCCTTGATGGGGTCTTGTCCTCCCAGTACGTGAAGGCACTCCGATTGACTGGATACTTGTGCCTACAGGCGTATTTAAGCACCCGGTAAACTGTTCCTATAGGATTGTGCTTTGTATTATGCTCTATATTGAGGTGTTTCTTAGAAACGTGGACAGTAACTATCCCAATTAGTGCTGCGGCACATTGCACTACCCCTATGCAAACTGTCACATAATAGAAACTCTTTTCGAAACCTTGTTCAAAACTTTTTTCAAGTTCGCTCCCTTTATCTTCCACTTCTTCTCCTATATAGTTCATATTAGACGCATTAGACGTGTTTAATTGAAGCGTTTTGTCAAAAATCAATGAGACAGCTGTGCTAGTGTAGTAGATCAGTATAGACCCTATCTGACTGCTCCAGTAGTACCAGTGTATAAATCCACTCAGTTGCTCTGAGCTAGCCTCCAGCATTTGACTGCACCCAAACTGGATTGCATTGGCTTGAAATAGTCCTCTACCAAGCATAGCAATGGCAGTTGATATCCCTATACTGATGCACGATGTTGCTACTGCTGGAAATGAGGATAGATCAACAGGATCGCCCTTGCTGTCCGTGTATATTAATATAAAGACTGTTGCTACTATTGATAGAACACTGCTGGCTAGCAGCAAGTACAAGCTACAGCCGACCACTGAGTATCTCTTTACACATACATCAGCAATCCAACCAAACAGAGGATATAATAAAAGTATTCCTCCATGTATGCCTGTCAGTATAGCTAGCAGTAAGAGTTTAGTGTCCTTACTTGCAGCTGTTATCAGTTGGATCGGTATTGAGGGATAGAGTGAGGATATTATGGCCCAGAGAAGGATAAGGAGCGATGCCTTGTGACCGATGAAGAAACAGCTGGAGAGATATCCCTTCTTTTTGCTTTTTAGCAGTGGCTGTGTTTCATTTCTCCTGGCCTCCATTTTAGCTTTCTTTCTCTCTGCATACGGGGCTATGTGTCATTATATATGTGTGATGTGTTATAGTCTCATGATCACTACATTGTTGTGATAGAGTAGGTGTCCTAATGTGCAGTAATTATTGTAACAGTAGGTGGAGGAATTGTGTTCAGTTGTGATAAATGACATTAGACTGCTTTCTATTTGAAGAGAATTTTAAAAATCTTTTTTCATTAGGATAAGGAATTGGCCATTTACAAGGATCAAGTTCAAGATTTGACAATGCAATTAGAAAAAACTAAAGAAGAACTTGCAGACCAGGTAATTCAATTTTCAGTCATCAATATTGAGCCAATTCCAATCAAAATTAATTTTTCATGAATTTTTAAAGTTGCCCAAGAATTGTGTTTTAGTGTCCTGCATGTACAATTGTCTATGTACCTGTACATCCAGTTTATTAATGTGATTCTAATTTTCACAGACACAGCACAAAACTGATCAGTCCAGCCTCTCAACTGCTTTTGAGTTGACAAAGAAAGAGCTAGAGCGACAGATCCAAGACAAAGAGGCTGCTCAGCTTGATGCCTTGAATCAGATTGCTCTTCTTGCTGAAGAGAACAGGTCGCTTAAGAGTCAACTGGAGACTGTAACCAGTCAAAACAATGAAACGAAAACAAGTTGCAAGAGATTGAGAGAAGAATTGAGGGCAGCACATGACGAGCTAACAAACGCTCAGAGAGAGAAGGGGGCAATGAATGCTCGGTTGGTCACTTTGCAGGTGGAACTGGTAAACTCTCAAGAGCAATGCTCTCATTTGAAAAGAGGAATCGAGTGAGATCTTCTGTAGTGTTAAATATATATATTCCACTCCTTCTTTCTGTTGTGTAGTGAAATTCTTGAAAGTTATTATAAAAACAAACCACCGATGATGGAGCAAACGGAGCAACTAAAGACTGGAGACAAATCTATTAGTCAACTTGAGAATAGAGTCCAAAAGCTTCAAAAGTCAGAGCAAGAAAGGCAATGTTTTATTTATAATAATTTCTTATTGTTATTATAGGGAACTGAAAGGAGCAAATTCTGCACAAGCTAAACCTGAGAGTGTTGGAACATCAACTCAAGCTCAAGTAGAATCATTGCAAGCATCTAATCAACGTTTTTCACGAAAAGTAAGTTATAGTGTGCTGCATTCTGCACAAAGAAGATTATTTAACCACTTACATTCATTGTATGCAGATAATGGAGCTTGAGGTAGACCTTGCGAGTCAGAAGAAACTGTCAATTGAGTTAAGAGAGCAGCTAGAGCAGAAATACTTGACAAATCAAACTAAGCAGCGTCAGATTGAGGAGCTGAAGCAAACTATCAAAAATTTAAAAGACGTAAGACATAGCAAAATTTTGTGCATTTCCAAGACTATCATTTATTATTATTAGGAATTGACTACCCTTCAAGAAGAAGCCTTATCTGTTAGTGTTCTTCAAACAAAGGTAATCATATTTTCATTTTTTTCCTATTTTTGAAATACTTATATAGTTGATGACCGTGCAAAACATCGTGGCCTCTCTTCAATTAGAACGTGGCAATTTGTCAAAGAGGCTAAAAGAGGAGATGGAGCGAGCTAAACTTGCAAAAGAATCGAAGCAGATGCTGAAGGAAGAGAATAAGAGACTTAGAGAGAGACTTGGTGGCAATGTCGCTCCTGCTGACCTTAGCAATGTCGTTCCTGCTGACCATAACAATGCATCGCCAGCCAGCATTAACTCATTGGGTACTCCTCCTCCTTCTTCGCCTTCTCCGCCTCCTCTTCCAACAAATGACCCGTCAGCAACAAATCCTCTCACACCATCTTATGCAATCAACTCACCTGTGAGGTACATTCCGGCATTTGGGTTCTCTTCTCCTGGAGCTGAGATCCTCAGTTTAAGGTATGAGCTATCCCAGGCTTGTCTTGCCGTGCGTAACCTTGAGCAGCAGAACTCAAAGACTTCCTCAGAGATGGCTAAAGCGAAAGGCTCCATGGAAGCCATGAAACATCTCCTAGACCATGTTAATAAAGAGAACAAGGCCATAAATGATTATATGGTAATAGTCGAGGAACAGAAGGACGGCTTCAAACAGGACCTTGTTGCTTGCCACGAGAGACTAGAGGCAGTCAAGTCTGATGTCAATGTCTTTCTCAGTCGTACCTATGCACAGCTGATGTCTCTGGCAAGGGAGCTTGAGGAATTCAAAAAGCCAAAGGTTGATGATCAAGAGAAGCATCAAGATGAAGAGAGGAAGAGACTTGGGATGCTAGAGAAGCTTAGAATGGCAGCCTCGATAATTAGGAACTTAGCATTTTCTGTTTTGGGCACTAATATTGAAGAAGACGCTGAAGATAGTCGTGGAGGTGAGGACTTTTTCCAGACAGGTAACCAATGTGGCAGCAACTTAGAAGAGGTACAGGCTTTGGAAGAAAGGATCACTGTCACTTGTGGAAAGTTGAAGGAAATGGAGGGACTCCTGGAAGAGAAGGAGAGAGAGTTGGAGGAGAAAGACAGAGAACTTGAAGCTGTCAGAGGAGAAACCAGTAAAATAGAGGAGGGAGGAGCCAGACAAAGGACTGAGGATAGGATTGAATCAATGAAGAAAGATTTGGAAACACAATATGAAGTGAATTTTATAGATAAAACCAAATGTGTAATATGTTTCTACTGCATGCACATGTGTATTTCTTGCATGATAGATTTGTATTATTTTATTTTACTTTATTGTCTTTTTTCACAGGCTAAGCTTGCTGTGCTACGGAATAAACTAGTGGAGAAAGAAAATGAAGTGACTGAGCTAAAATCCACCGAACAAGAGCTAAAAACAACACTAGACGATGCTGAAGTTACACTTTCTGCTAATGCAGAAGAAATGGCAACTGCTAAAGAGGAACTACTGCGATTGAGGGAGCTGGTTCATTCCTATGAGGCTAGTCTGAGCAGTGAAGCTCACCTGATAGAGTGTGAGTATCAAGCACAGCTACACACTTTGAATGCTATGAAGAAGAAGCTTGACGAAATAAAAGGAAAATGCTCTGCGGAAAACCCAGGGGCAAGCAATGAGGAAGGAGAAGATGGTGATGATGTGAGAAGCAAGGAGGTAAAGCTGCGATCTTGTAGTGAGAGGATTTTTGAGCTACAGGGACAGGTTGAGGCCTTGAAAGCTAAGAAGTCTATTTTTGACGGATACATTGAGTCACAGACGGAGAGAGAGGAGTCTGTGGCATTGCAACAGAGAAACGAGTTGATGCAGCAAAGCATGCAACTAAGAGAAGAGAACGATGAGCTGAAGTCAGAGCTACACAGACTCAATGAGGTCATACAACAGCTACAAGACAATATGCAGATAATGGCCTTGAGACTTGAAGAGGCTCAGGAGGAAGCAGCAGAGAGAGAGAGGGAAGGAAGAGGTAATGGAAGAGATGACTCAAATAACACTGATTTGGAAGGCAGCTTCCAAGACAGATCATCTTTATTGCAAGAAAATGCTCGGCTAACTGAAGAGAATGAGGAGATGAAGATGGAGCTACACAGCCTCATTGAGGCAACTCAAGAAATGCAAAATAAAATTGATATCATGGCCCTGAGGCTAGAGGAAGTGCAAGAAGGAGCTTTTGCTGATCAAGATGAGGAGGAGGAAGAGAAGGAAGGAGAGGAGGAAGAAGAGGAGGAGGGAGAAGAAGAGGAGGAGGGAGAAGAAGAGGAGGAGGAAGAAGAGGAGGAGGGAGAAGAAGACAAAGGGGAGGAAAAGGAGGAGGATGATGCTGATGAGATCTTTGTTTATGATATCGAAAGAGTGAGAAGTGAAATTTTTACCAGGAAGGACGAGTATGAGCTAGCTTATAGTGACCTGGAGAGTGGGCTGAGAGGTAAAATAAAGGAATTGAAGGAGGCTAGGGCAGAGATTGAGAGATTGAGCGAAGAAGTGAAGACACTGAAGGAAGAAATGGAAAAGAAGGAAGAGTCTTATCAGAACACTGTGGCAAGCTGGAAGGAACTTTTGAAAAAAAGGTAAATGTAATGTAGATGCATGTATACAGGCCTTATACTTTACTGTACTGTATAAGGATGTACTGTAAATGTAAATCTTCTTTTAAAAACCAATGTGTTTGTTCCTTTGTCTCTTGTTCTGCAGAGATGCTTCGTTATCTAATGCTAGATTGTCATTTGAGAAGGCATTGGCTGATAAACAAGCACTTGAGTTGCAACTCAACAATAATGCCTTAATGGAAAACAGCATTCGTAGTGAGGCTGAGAAAAAGGTTGGTAGCTTTTATACTGTTTTAACTGGAGAGCTCTTTTTTTTTTTCCCTTGCACCTCTTTCTTTAATGACAGATAAGCAAAATAAAGGGCAAATTTAAAGCACAGATAAAGAAAAATAATGAATTAAGGTTAAAATTAGGTCAGTTCTAGAGGCAATAATAATAGCTGACACATTATGTTGATTCTTCTTCATGCAGGTTATATACTATCAGAGCTTAGGCTTTTTAAGCAGTTAAAGGTTGAGCTGGATTGTCAGGTTTATCAGCTCCAGCATGCACTGAAGATATCAAAGGATGAGTACAAGGAATGCCTTAGGAGGCTGAATCATGTAGAAACCAACCACTTCAACGTTAATCAATCTTAAATTGATTTCTTAACCCAACTCTGACAGAGATTTAATCACTATAAACAATAAAGTATAACACTAACAATAGTATTAAACTTAAAGTTTTAAGCTCTTGTTTTTTTGATTAAAACTTCAGTACAAATAGACTTTCTGTTCGTAGAAAACACTGCATGCGCAATGGATTACAGTTGGATAATAATAATTTTATTTAAATTGAATAAGACAATTATTATAGATGCATACATGTGTATGGAATGATGATATAGAATATGATAAAATAGCAGTTGATTTTATGTACCATATATTATGCTTAGCAAACAAAAGACAGAAAAAAGAGCAGAATAATGATAAATAATATTATTAACATGAAGCTATATTTGCTGCATTTATTGATAGTAATTCATGATGTAGTGTAACAGATGGTGGCATGTTGTTTGATTGTCCTCAATATCCTCCGAAGAGCAATGACACAAGAACTTGATCAAGTGAATGGCAATTGATGAGAAATATGTAATGAGATGAGAAGGAGGGACAACCTATGCAGCAAATAATAATAATAATGATCAAGTTTATCAATGACTCATTTACTATTTTGATTGTCTCCAATATAGTCATTAATATTGCTTTCTGGCACTAAAAAAAATTCATTGATATTAATAAAGAAATCGGAAGGTAGGTGCTTACTTTAGAGAGGTGATCCATAAAATCTGGGTTATAGCAATCACTCAACTGTATGACGGGGCCCTATTAAGCAACATGTAAGAGATCACTGAAAACAGCATTTCCACGCTCTCACCTTAAGATGAGATAAGTATGTGAACAGCAGACAGAAAAGCACCGTTGGATTCGTCTCTTGTGACAGCTCCTCCCATTTCCACTTATTATTAATCTCGTCCTACAAATTAACAAAGATACGTACATGTAGGTATACTGTAAAATTAATGGTAAATTGTGGTAATACAATTATTAAATTATTGTATGTTTGTACCTACATGTGCATGTATATACATTTTACCTTAATGATTGTCAGTCTTTTGAGTACATCCTTATCTCTTAAGCAAGGGCTGGTACCCAGTAATGATGGTACCAGATGATCAGACTCATCATGGTGACAAGACTCTGTGCTCTCACTAAAACCTGACGCATCCCTGCTACTATAAACTGAGACCAATAACCAACTCTCAGTGTCTTCACCGGTCTCATCACCTTCGTCATGTGTGCTCTCATTCTGCTCAATGCTGCTATTAGTACTGGTATCATAGTGAACGTTGTGATACTGGAATGACTTAGACCCGTGAAGCTCTTTGATGCATGTGCATAATACACTAATAACCTAAAATAATAATGAAATACTTTCAAGTAACTAGTAATAGTAGTAGTAGGTAGTAGCTACAAAGTTATCTTTAATCAGTATTTTTGTGTTCACATACATGTACATGCATGGAGTGTTGAATACACATAACATGTAGGTTTTTGATTAATTTGTATATTTTTTTTTTAAATTTAGCCCATGAGAATAACTTGACCCTTGTATGTGTATGTGTACATGTATACACAGAATTTCCCACAAGATTTTGGCACATGTGTAGTGCTTATGCAGCTTCTTTTCAAGTTGCTAAAAAATTGGGCCAAAGACCCTGTACTGGTGTACAGGGTATTTTGTCAAAAATGAAAAATTGAGAATTCTCAATTTTTATAATTTCTTCTGATGCATATACATGTCCTTATGTCGTGTATTAACTTTGAGCTGATTCCGATCAAATTTGGATTTTTTTTACAAATTTTAAAAGTTACTCAAAAATCAGGCCAACAACCAAAGGCTATAGCCTTGGGTCTTTGGCCAAATTTTGCCAAAAATGAAAAGTTGAGAATTCTCAATTTTTATAATTTTTTTCTGATGCATATACATGTCCTTATGTCGTGTATCAACTTTGAGCTGATTCCGATCAAATTTTGGTTTTTTTATGAATTTTAAAGTTACTCAAAATGCCATGGACTGTATTTTAGTGTTGTTAGCTCATGAAGCTTGCATGCTGCATACATGTACATGATAACGCTTTTAGCTATGTTGGAATTAAATGAAAATGTACATGGTATATATGCACATTATACAAGTTAGGAAGTACATGTACCTTTGGTATGTGTTTGTATTTCTCTAGCTCTTCTCCGTGGAGCAAGTTAAACTGTTTCTCCATGTACTCCGCAAGTGTAAAGGAAGAAAGAAGAGTTGGATAAAGGTTCCAGAGAGAAAGGAGGAACAGAGAAAACTGAACAACCAGTTCAATCTGACTCCTCGATTGAATAGAGTCTGGCCTATGATAACAAAAAGTGAGGACTTTGTGTTAAATTATTTTTTCGCATTTTTTTACCTTTTATCTCTAACTTTAGTAATGGCCTCTTCAGCTCCAATTCTCTGAGAATAAACAAGATAGCAGGCTATTACTGATCCTGTCCTACCTATGTAGCGATCAAATCATATTAAAAATCAAGGAATCATGAAAGGTAATGCGATAGATATCAAAATTTTGATCTCAGTATAATAATAATAATTACTTACCTAAGCCTGCATGACAATGTATAGCGATTCTCCCATTCAGACAAGAGAAGTCAATAACTTTTACAACATCGAGCATATTCTCGACACTGAATGTACTATAGTCAGGTAAAGGGTAATTGTAGTAATAGATATTTTGTCTCATTAGATCTTCAGGTTTGTATGTGAAGCCACTGTTTTCCTGAGGAGGGCCACAGTGAGCATGTTCACCTGCAGTCTGTAAGTTAATGACTGCGTTTATACCAGATCTGCATTATAAAAGAGAGACGTGCGTGTACATGGAGTCAAAACTAGATCAGATATTCTTACTCTTTGAATTGGTCCAATAGCTTGTATTGTGTGAATAATTGTGTGGAGGGTCTAGCCATTGCTAATATATTATCAGTCACCCTGGGAGAGAGAGGAGGGAGAGAGAGGAAGGAAGGAGAGAGAGGAGGGAGAGAGAGGGGGAGAGAGAGGGGGAGAGAGAGGAGGGAGAGAGAGGAGGGAGAGAGAGGAGGGAGAGAGAGGAAGGAGAGAGAGGAAGGAGAGAGAGGGGGAGAGAGAGGAGGGAGAGAGAGGAGGGAGAGAGAGGAAGGAGAGAGAGGAAGGAAAGAGAGGGGGAGAAAGTTAATAACATCCTAAGCTTAGGATATTACAAAGTTATGACATCAATGATTATTGTAAGCTCACTGAGCTGAACTATAAACAAGATGCCTACCGGGTATTTTATTCTCTTTGTTGTGCATCAGTATTGTAGTGTATAGTTGAAATCAATAGTACATGTATGCATGTATAGATCTAGTTAAACAATTATTATCTACTCTATTATCTACATAGTACTATTATCTACATAGTATACTCTATGTATTGATATAGTTCATAAACCATAATGTGTGTTTTTACTGTTTTACTGGCTGGTGGCCCATTATGATACATGTATGTGTACAGTACATTCTCTCCCAATTCCCTACCAATGAGAGTAAAGACCATCAAATGCGACCCCGGTCTCCTCCTTCCTCCACCTGCTCGGGCTGTCGTACTTGCATCCCCTACCACCACAGAAGGTGCCACACTGCAATCGTTGAACGGTTGGACTTGAAGACCCAATCTGTCTCAGTTTCTCAGAAACTTTAGAATACTGAGGGGGAGGCGTTCTACTGCCACCTGCTCTTCCTCTTCCAACTACTGGGGAGTAGTTTAAAAAGTTCTTAGACTTTACTTCTGTTATCTGTATCAATTCGGTCTCTCCTTCCTCTTCTTCTTTGTTTATGCCAAAGATGTCTGGGGCACTCCGAGCACCGCGATCAAGGAAAGAGTTATCCGGAGCCAGGTGCTGCATTTTAGAAGTCATCAGTAAAGTCAGTAAAGTCCAGTACCAACCACCCTATAAAGAAGAAAATCGTAGAGTTACAAGGTCGCTTGGAGAATTGTTATCTTTTTTAATTCGCGACAATTCTCACCTTTGCCTCAACTTGTTTATTACTTGTGCTGCTATGCTGTAATCACTATGGGTGTGGCTAAGTTGGGCTAAACCCCAATCAATAATCAATCATTGACAATCAATATTGTTTGTTGCAGCATTTTGATCCTCCTATAGGCTCCTCCACTGCATGATCCTTTATATTTTTCAATTAAAATATGGTAAGTGAAACCCTTTTATTTACTGTTCAATTAATTGCACAGCTTTTAAATGACTAAATCCTTTATTTTCTACATTTATTATATATAGTCATCAGGAGCACCCAATCATGATAATAATTCATCTCCTGTCATACAAACAGTTGAGATGCATACTGGAGGAGAGCCTGTAAGAATTATAGTCAAAGGGTATCCTCAAATTCCAAGTGACACCAATATATTAGCAAAGAGGTCTTATGTGAGAGATAATTTGGACCACCTTCGTCGTATGTTAATGTTTGAGCCAAGAGGAAGCGAGGCAATGTATGGAGCACTGATTGTAGAGAAAGACCTACCTGAGGCTAGCCTGGCCGTACTGTTTATGCATGGAGAAGGTAATGACTAATCACAAGTGCTCCTATAATGGTAATATGCAATTCATTATTATTATTAGGTTATTCTACAATGTGTGGTCATGCTACTATTTCTCTTGGCCGGTATGCAATTGATTACGGCATAGTCCCTCCCGTGACTCCTTTAACGACTTTCACAATGCAATGTCCCTGCGGCCCAGTAAAGGTCAAAGTTCAATACGAGAATAATAAATCTGGTGCAGTTTCCTTTGAAAGCGTGCCCTCATTTGTTGACGCCGATAAATTGAATCAGAGCGTATACGTCCCTTCGCTCAATAAATCCATCCCATATGATATTTCTTATGGTGGGGCTTTTTATGCTTTTGTTGATGTGGGAAGCGTTGGTCTTGATTTTAAGCACTCGTCAATGGCAGAGTGTCGGGAAATTGGAGGCTCTATCACAGACGAGTTGAGGAAAACAATAAAGCTCTCTCATCCAGATCCCTCTGCTTCAGATTTGGAGTTCTTGTATGGAACCATACTGATATCATCAGAGGGTCAGCAGTTGTGCATTTTTGCAGAGAGACAAGTACCTAATACGATGATGTGATACTGATTGTTGTTCGTTTTTAGGTTGACCGTTCTCCTTGCGGCTCTGGAGTTTCTGCAAGACTAGCTCTAGAATATCATCAGAAGAAAATTAAATTAGGTCAGATGAATTTATGATAATTTATTATTATTATTGTTCAAGTTAAATTTCATGCTAATTCATTTTAGGTGAAGCAAAAAGAATCTCTAATCCTTTGACAGGGTCTGTGTTTGGGGGGCAGGCTACAAGGGAAGAGAAATTCTTTGGAGTCAATGCTGTTGTAACTGAAGTTAAAGGAAATGGATATTACACAGGGGAGTCAAAATTTTGGTTAGAAGAGGGAGACAAAATTGGAGAAGGATTTTTACTGTAAGACACTTTATGTCATAAGTACAAAGGGACAAGTGTTAATTAATAGTTATGCTTTGTAAATGTGTAACTGGTTGTGTATGGCCTTTGTAGCAGCTCTTCGAAATCTTTTTCTTCCACTTTTCTGGACTCCATCTCCTTTTGGGTGACAGGGAGACTGTTACAACGAGTTATTTTCCCTCTTGGTCCTGCAGCTACTGTAATGGCATTATTAATAATATTTATTTCCATGTGGTAATATGCATGCTATATTAATGTACCGTAAATCCTTAAATAGAAGCCGCATTTGAATAAACGCCGGGGTAGCAATAAAATTAAACTATAAATACGCAACACTAGCCTAAGAGTAACTCAGTAGTCTAGTGGATAATGCCTGAAGTTCCAGAAGTCAAAAGCATGAGGTTACGGGTTCGAATCCCGCTCTGGGCTGACGTTTTTTTATTTTTTATATATTTTTTCGAGATCCAAATACCATTTTAGGAAATAGACGCCCGGGCTTTTATTTAAGGAAATACGGTACCTTGTTTTTCTGAGTTGCGTTGTGCTTTAAGTGCTGTCCTTAGTCTCAATTTTGAGCTCAGTCTTCCTTTAATATTGATTTCATTGATTTGTGTTTGATACGAAACTGCTTCTTGACTTAGTTGTATGACTCTGCCTCTTATCTGGGAGTTCTCTAGTCTTAAGTTATCGAGTTGTTTCATGAAGCGTTTCTCCACATCATTTACTTTGTCATTGAAATTGTTTTTTAAATCCTTCAACTCCTCCGACTTACAAAAATTACATTAAAGCAAATTTTTATGACATTAATCTTACTGTTTTTAGTAGCTGTATTTCAGAGCTCTGTTTTTCTTCGTTTGTCGTTTTGAGCTGCTCTGCTACGTACTTTACTGTATCTTGGCATATCTGTACACATTAATGAGTTAATATAAATGACATTATGCTGGTATAATGAATAGTATTTACCTTCAAGCTATCTTCAGTTGTGGCTAGTCGTTTAGCAAGGTAATCAGAACGGTTGACTTTCTCTACCATTCCCTAAAAAATTATTTATGTAATGATGTGTTTTAATTGACTTTACTTCTATCTGAGTTTTGTACATCTTGGCCATGTTTGACATTTCTTCTTCGTATTGATCTGCTACTTCCTGCTTTGCTTCTAATATAATAGTCTCTGTTTCTTCTTTCATTCCTGACTTCAGCTTCTTGATTTCATTAATGTGTTCCTCTTTAATTGTGGACTGACAAAAAATGCATTTTAATGCATGCATTATGTGTATGACTTTTTCCTCACTTCCAGCTCTCTAAGTCTAGTATCTGTTTCCTTTCTTAGTTTTTTCTAATTATATAATTTATACATTAGTGTAGAAATTAATGTCAAATACTTTTGTTTCCTTTAAAAGGTCCTGATGCTCTGCAATTTCCTTTTCAAGTCCAGCTGTGTGAAAACGATAAATTAGCACTAAAATGCATTAAAACCTTTTTCAAGCACAAATTGTGATTTTTGAAGAGCCAGGTTTTGTTGAAATTTTTCCGTTAGAATCTGCATCTGTTGTTCATGCAGTGATGCCATGTATCTTTAAAGCATAATGAATAATGAAATGAACTACTGAAAGAAATACTTTTGCTCAGAGACATATTGCATTTCAATCTTCTTTTTAAAATCCTTTCTCTCTTTCTCGTACTGTATAATAAAATCAGTGGGGACATGCGACAGTATATTAATGTGTAAACCTGTTGTATTTGCTCCTGATATTGGACCTCTTGGTTTTTCAGCTTGACACTTAGGTTAACAATCTCTCTTTGTAGCTTCTCCTCTGCTTCAATGCTACGTATAGATAATGTAACAATTACTCTATAAATATCTCTCTCTCTCTCTTATCATCATTAACCACCTTTCTTTGGTCAGTCTATGTATCATTTCTGTTAACGATTGGTCTCCAATTCTAGAAACAGTCAACAAAAATGATCGACTGTATGCATACATTATATACAAACTTAGCATCATCTTTCTTGCTGCCACTTGATCTGAATTTTTGCATTACTCTTGCAGGCTATGATTATTTTATGACAAATGGCTGATCATTTTTGATAGGTTAGTATTACGTACCTCAAAGAATTTATCCATGTTTATTTTCATTTCAACAGCACTTGCTGATCGCAGGAGAGTGTAGCCAGGCGTCTTCACTCTAGATACATATTGCCTTGTCTATTGATGCATAAATAAAGTCATGTACATTCTAACCAATGAATACACTTACACTTTGAAATCTTTTGTGATGTTCTGAAATAGGAGGTAACTTCATTCTATATTAACAGAGAGAGAGAGAAGTAGGGAGGAAGAGAGAAAGATTTGTATACCTTTGCAAATGTGCATTTGTTTTTGGTCTCCGCTGTCCAAGTTCCCTTGCATTGGATGACTGTGTTCTCTCTTTAATGATCCTCCTTCCTTCATGAGGGAATATGGCTCTCATTTTATACCTACAGAAAACAGCTAGCCCATCACACAGGAGTTGCCCCAACATACTTTCTGTTGGTAAATGTATACAAGCAAAGCTCTGGGACAGACTGACTGTGACCCTCCATCTTGCTTGTCTTCATGAGTCCAAGTGTCAAAAATATTTTGAAAAACGCGTTATACCAATTAACACAACATACTGTAATTTGACAGTTCTTTATAATACACAACATTATATACATATAGATTCTAAATAGATCACTCCTCTCCGCCTTTGCTATCTTTATCAGGACTTTCAAATCGTAAGAATTTCTTTGGTTGAGCTCCAGAGGGACCTTGCTCCTGGGCAGTGGTAGGTTGATTAAGAGTATCTAGAAGGTCATCCAGCCATGCATCTGGTACGTGTGCTTCAGCTCCACTTGCAGTACTAAAAATAATAGATATTGATGGCAGGGCTATAGATCTAATTATGAATCATAGTACCCAGTAATGTTTGAATTGATAAAATCAGCTACTATATTTGGGAAGGTATTAGAATGGGCGTGAAGAAAGTCATCAAGAAATTGCTGCAAGTAAAGACGAGAATAAACAGATACAATGTTATCATTATTACTTCATACGACGATGATGACGATGATGCTGTAGTTTCAATCCTAAAATCAAATTTTTCTAAAAAGGATATTAATGGCAAATTGCCTACCGTTTTCTTTTTGATGGCTGTAACCTAAACGAAAAATAGTGACAGCTCAAAATTTAGAGTTTAGCATACTTTTTTCGAGGAGATTTGAGCACAGCTGCACTAGCCGAGACTGTGTCACAACTTGACGCTGACTCAGGAGTCTGACGAGTGTCACTTGTGATAATGAGAGGCATATCAGATGTGAGGGGACTCTGCGAAAAACTAGGAGTTGATACTAACGAAGAGGATGATGACTGAGACGAAGGGATTGAAACAATGGCGGTTGGACTCGGGGCAGGTGGTAACACAGATGCACTGGTAGCTGGTCTTTGCTTGTAATTAGTGGATTGTAATGATTTGTTGCTAAATACATATTTTGCCGGTCGACCTTTGCCATTAAAGTAATAGATTTCATCAATTTATAGATGGTATTATCTAATACTGACTTTGCTGTTTCTTAGCTAGATTGTGACTTTGGGCAAAATTACTACAAAAATAATAATTTTTTTAAATTTTTCGAATCATAATATCATTATCCTATTACTCTATTTGTGTGAGAGTTTGCTGGAGTTTCTCCCAGAGACTCCGCCATGTTTTTTCGTTGCCCATCGACTGAACCATGAGATCTGAAACATTAAAGAAAAATAAATACAGATAAATTGTTGTTTTACTTGTTGCTTGACGCTCCTTATAATCGCTGATGATTTCTTTTAATGGAGTGGGTGGTAATACCTACAATAATAATGAAATTGTTATTATTCTATATTATTATTTATTGAAGAAATTCCGACTCACTAGTGCAGTGGACGATGAATTGCTGAGATGCGAGCATTCTGCCATAAATGCTGATGCAGTGCTTGAATAGTTTTTACTAAGTAAATAGGCTGAATTGTATTAGTCATTTAAATGCAGGCAGTACACTAGTCAAATTACCTAAGATGTATCTAGAAACTTCTTCTTCAGATGCCATTTTAGAGGTAAAACAGGAGTCTGCACTTTATTTGAAATCATGAATCAACCTATTAGAATAGAAGCAAATACGATTTTTACAGCAGAGCTTACTTTAGCTTTGGAATATTAATTTGCAGCATTAGCCCCGCCCATAAAGCACACGCCCCTGTATTGACCACACCTACAAAAATTAATGCTTCAAAAATGGAAATGGCGGTTCCACAGCTCCAAGAACTAGCGCAAAAGAAAGAGGAAGAACTCCAAAAGATACGCGAGCAGCAAGCCCAGGCACTAGAGACGGCTTTAAAAACTATAGAGGAAGAGCTGGAGGAGGAGAGAGGGAAGAGGAAAGCCCTGGAAGATGACTTTAAGTACAATCTTGGACTCATAGAACAAAGGGATCAAGAGCTCCTCCAATATGAAACAGTATTTCAGCAACTTAAAAAAGTATTGAGAACTCTCTTGTCTATTTATGTTATTTTATTTATTCTCTGTAGGTTATTGATAGCCATGTTGCTGAGCTGAGCGACCTTCATGTTCAAATAGACGAACTTCAGAATAAATTGAAACAAGAAAGTCTTGAGAAAGGACAACTCAAGCAATACTATATTCAGCGTATAGAGCAACAGCAATGTCACATGGATCAGTACTGGTAAGATAGTGTGGAATTGGTGGCCATTTTCTTATCCTCTTAGTAAAACAAAGGATAAGGAAATTGCAGAGCAGAGGCTGGAGTATGAGCAACTTCAGAAGAAACTTCAGCAACGGTTGCTTCAAATCGAAGAAGAGTTGGAGAGTGAGAGACAGCAGATGACAATACAGCACGAAGACAAGTTAAAATCGCAAGGACAGGATTTTCAAAAGAAGGTAAGAAACTTGATAATATTTACATTTTATCTTTCTTTCTTTAGCTAGATGAAATGGCTGCAGGTCTTTTATCAAAAGAATCACACATTCGTCAGCTTCAACGTGAACTCTCTACTCTTCAAAGTTGCAGAGATGAGACGCAGCAGAAAGCGTCCAGTGTCGAAGAGAGAGTAAAGGAGTTAGAAGTACAACTAAGAGACAAAGACTGGGAGCATACTGACTCCATCAGTACACTAGAAGCAAGGTATTCTGACACTGGCTTGTAGTCCACTAAATTTTAGTTGATCAACTTTAAAAATTCATAAAAAATCCAATTTTAATCAGAATCAGCTCAAACTTTCTACACAACATAAGAACATGTATATGTATCAGGAAAAAATATAAAAATGGAAAATTCTCTCCTAGTCATTTTTGACAAAATTAGGCCGATGACCCTGTACTATAGTACAGGGACTTTGACTTGATTTTGGAGCAACTTTTAAAATTCATGAAAAATTCAATTTTGATCGGAATCACCTCAAACTTTCTACACAACATAAGAACATGTATATGCATCAGGAAAAAATATAAAAATGAAAAATTCTCTCCTATTCATTTTTGGCGAAATTAGGCCGGTGACCCTGTACTATAGTACAGGGACTTTGACTTGATTTTGGAGCAACTTTTAAAATTCATAAAAACTTAATTTTGATCGGAATCAGCTCAAATTTTCTACACAACATAAGTACATGTATATGCATCAGAAAACATTATTAAAATGGAAAATCCTCTCCTTTTCAATTTTCGCAAAACTTGGTCCATGACCCTAGTACAGGGTCATGGTCTGATACTGATATATGCTGATATTGATACTAGTCAATTGCTTGACAGGATATCAGAACTAGAGGGACAGTTGACACACGCAGAAGCTACTAACAAAACTATAAGAAGAGACTATGACATCAGGTTGACAAGAAATAAGAACTTATATGTTATTCACTATTTTAATTATTATCAGACGTGTCGAGTTAGAGAGACTTTCGAAAGAAAAAGAGACTGCACTTCAGACAGCAAAAGAGGTTATAAATTGACCGGATTATGGTAGTACTGTAATTTATTTATTTATCTTTATAACAGTGCCATCGTGTTCATGAATCTGAGCTCGAGAAGCAACTTGCTGAAATGAGAGCTACACTGGAACAGACAGAGATAGAGGGAAGACGAAAGGAATGGACTCATAAAGACCAACTGACAGAGAAAGACATATCCATTGAAAAGTTGAGTCTTTTGTCTAATGATAGCCAGCTTTAACATGTGTGTGTGTACATGTACATGTAGGCTGCAAAGTGAACTGATGAGAACAAGAGAGGAAGGAGAGAGACTCACAGCGCAACATGCACAGGATAAAGTACAGGCTGATCTGAGGCTACAGTCATTGGAGGACTCGTATGATAAAATTAAAAATGATCTTCATGCACGTATCCAAGACCTTGAAAGGTACATTATACATGTACTGGTGTAGGAAGACGCAGTGGCAATGCATACTTGATTGTCATTGGTATTTCAGATACAAACATGAGCTGAATTTATCAAATGAGAGAGAGCGAAGTCTAGAGCGTTCAAAGAATCAAATGGAACTGGATTGGCAGGTTAGAGTATATTGTCTACCACTTCATTGCATCAGCTGTTCACTTTGTGCGCAGGTAAGACTGGAAGAGATGGAAAGAAGCCAATATGGCCGCCAGGAAGAACTCCTAAAAACTTTAACTAAAGCAAAAGATGAGGTATAGATGAGAGAGGAGATTAAACTGAAATCACAATTGTCTCCATCTCTGTTATAATAAGCACAAAATGATATCAAGTATGCATGTACATTGATAGGCTCTTGTGTATTGTAAACAAGTTGAAGAAAAGTTGATTGAAAGAGTGAGAGTGTGCGAGAGCTTAAGACAAGAAAGAGACATAGCTCTTGATGCTTTAAAAAAGAAGGGACTCACACAAATTTCTCATGAGATATTACAAGGTAAAGTTACAATTTATTGCTTATTTATTGTGATTTATAGGCAGAGGTTCAACTACTAACATTGAGTCACTTCAGTGTCAAAACGAAGAATTGAGAGAAGTCATAAAACACATGAGAAACGAAATGGAGAAATTAGCTGCTGCGTCGGATGACCTAGAATGTAATGAGCAGCTTCAGAGGGAAGACAAAAAAGATGGCCACTGCTCAAGAAGCTATGTTAAATACATAGAGAGAGAGCTGGGAAGATTAAAGCAAGAGAATCAAAAACTTCAAGAGGTGAGCTCTGCCTTCAGCAAGAAACCCCCGGCAGTTCCTACTAAAAGGCCAAAAACTGACCCACAAGTGTCACAGGCATTAAAGACAGCCGTAGGTATGTACGTCGTGTATGTGTTCCCGCCTTTATTAATCTGTTTTTCTCTAGCCTCTTTTCAAAAAGAGAAGGCAACTTATGAGTTTGATTTAGCTCAGTTGAGATCAAGAGTGAGGCAGCTAGAATCATCAATGAGCATTAAACAAGAGCAAGTATAATGATATTTATTGATTTCTCTCTTCCAATCATCCTATGTTAATAGGTTTACATGGAAAAGGCTTTGCAGGTGCCTCCTGACAAAGTTCGCCAAAAGCTCCTGCAGGCCACACAAGTTATCATACAGTTAGTGAAAGAAAGAGAGGAATGGAAGATCAAAGAAGAAGAACTGACTACATTAGTAAATCAATTGCAGCAAAGCATTAGGCAGAATGAAGAGGAGTCATTAGTGGTTAGCCACACAGAGCAGGAGAATATACCACCATCCCATGAGATGAAGGCAGAGTCTTTTAGTAGTTCTGTTCCTGGGAATGTCTCATCACTTCAGTCTAAAACTCACCAAAAAAGTATTCCTATTCCTTCTGGTCACATGTCTTCTTATGAGGGACTTTCAAAACTACTAAAGTCCAGGCCACTCTCTTGTAGACTCAATATACCTGAAATACTCACTCCTCAAAGACCTGTTCAGGACCCACTGTCACCAAAAAGAAAACCCTCACCGGACCCAGTGCCAGCAACTGCTCATGATAGTGTCTCACTGTCTCCATTGAGATTCTCAGACTCCTCTTATTCCAGTGGTATGCAGGGACTTCAAAAAGCACTCCAACTTATGGATGGAGCTACAGTTAGTCCAACTCTTCCTTCATTCTCTCATAGCTGCAAGTCATCAACTCCTCTGAAGGATAGAGTTGATGATGATGAGATTAAAGAGGACACTGGTGCTGCTCTCATGATGGTTGAGGGTAGGAAAGTTCCTCAAAGTATTACGAGAAAGAGCAAAGTCACTTACGCTGCTCCTCGACTTAAAAAATCATCGAAACCAAAAATTAGAAATTATAATAATAAGGATGATTTATAGTGAACTATATAAATAAAAATTATAATGTGTCTATATCGGAATTATAATATCACAAAAATTAATTATAATGTATCTATATATATCATAAATTTAGATTTTTATGCCATTTTTGTCTGTAAGGACATCAAATAAACTGAATTAGTATTCCCTCCATATTCGTCTTTTCCTCCTATCAGCAAAACCCGATCTTCCAATGTAATTGCACACGATTCCGTTAAAACTATTGGCAACTCCCCAAGCTCAATCCACGAGATTGGATCGTCCTCTCTGCAGAGCGAGTATATCTTCCTCGTCCCTCCTGCCCCGATGACAACAACCATGTCATTAATTGTAGCGACTGCTGAGTGTGCTCCTTCACCATTGCCAGGTTTCTGAATGGTCTTCACATATGAAATGCTACCATACTTTTGAAGTGCAGAGCTAGCTAACATTTTTAATTTTAATCGCACGTTCTTTGATCGAACACTCGGATCCATATCTCCCCCTAGCAAGTACCAGCTCCCCTTATGTAGAATGCTTCTCATTGAGCTTCGACCACCAAGCAAAGAGTGAGCAGTGTGCCATTGTGCAGTTGGCGCATGAAACACTTCAATGGATCGCAGGTTTGCTTTGGCATCTCTTCCTCCAGCTACTGCAATATTTTGATCTTGGCTTGCAACACTAGCCTGTGCACGAGCTGTTAGCATAGGAGGAATGATGTTGTCGCGTAGAAAATGGTTTCGCTCGTCGATGTACAGGGAATAAACTCGAGCTGAATATTTTTGTTGATTGAAGTCGAATCCACCAACAACTAGGAGCTGGTTTTGAAAGACGGTCAAAGCAAACAAGTGGACAGGACTTTTAATGAAGACCTGCCAGTTATCGGCTCTAATGTCATACTCCAGTATATAATCGGCTCCGGTGGGTACATCTTGCCCACCAACAATAACCTTGTTTCTATACAATACTGCCTGAGCATTGCTGATAGCCACTGGTAATGAGGAGCATCTTTTGAGATTCATCACAAAACTTGGCGCTGATGGACGATACTAAAGTATAATGAATGATTATATACATCATTATATTCAGTATATTGACACATACCTTGATTGGTCTCCTTATGACTAGATTGTTTTTCCTCTCCAAGCTTGGTGATGAGCATTGGCTTTGTTCTGTATTTATGTTTTCTAACATCGATTCTCTTATTGCAATGATTGTGTACAGATTAGCAGTGGATGTTAATGCAGCTAAAGTCTCTGCTTTTGTATTCATATTCACCCCATTAACCTAGAAAATTAATTATTATCTAATAGTACTAAAATCAAAGAATTCAAATTCAATAGTCTATAGAATACAGGGTCCAAGGCCAAATTTTGTTTAAAATGAATAGAAAACAAATTCTCAATTTTAATTTTTTTTTTGATACATAACAAATGCTATTATGTCATCCAAATATTCATTAAGCTAGCTTACAGAAACAATGCAGTCTCCAGCCTTTAGTCCACCATCTTTCTCTGCTAGCCCACCAGGAGTTATTTTTGTAATAAACACGGCCTGCATAATAAAAGTATTATGATTCATAATAAAGAACTTTTATTAATGCTTACATGTTCCTTATCATCATACATTGCTCCTTGTCCTTCTTCTATCTTAAACCCAAGGGTCTGATCTAAGCTTTCCTTGAGCAACTCAACTATTATCTAAAAGAATTGCTTCGCTGTCATATTATGCAGTCATTGAATAAAAATAATATTACCCTTTTCCTCCGAATGTTCCAAATATTGGCTTGAGTAGCGGCATCCTTCATCTCAACAGTATTATCATCATCTTCTCCAATAACAGTTTCTTGCATTTCTATTCCATTGTCATTATCATGCGTCAAGCCCTCTCTTAGTATCTTCACTTCCATGGACAGCCTTCTCGACTCTTTTTGACTCTCTTCCAGTTTCTTGACCACTTCTTCCAATTGGTGCTGGTCATTTGGAATGGCTATTAAAAATGATGTAAGTAGTGCTAGATGTTTATCACTGCAGATGAGTAGTGATAAATTAGTAATGATCTAGTGATTTCATGTATGCATGAATTAATATATGCACAATAATGCACACTTACTCCTTTGAATTATGATATGGTCCTATGCAACAATAGATAGTAGCATCATCACAATGTTATGATAATTCTGTATACATACCTTCTCCTTTTTCCAGTAAACGCTGCCATCAATTGTCAGTTCAACCAGACCTCTCCTCTGCATTAGCTCAATAGCTGACTCTGGCACAAGAAGAGAGGCTGACAAACAGTTGGGAAAGAAGCAAGTGACCAGGAGCATGTCATCAATCTCTTTGATGTTGACGAGTTGAACACTTTTTGCTAGCGAACCAAATGAGCTAGAAATGGCATCTTTGATGAATTGAAGCGTAACGTGGTTCGGGTTCTGGTCTATAATCATTTTGATGACCAAATCAGTTCTGAGAGGTTGATTGGATCTTGACAGAATAAAATATTCCCCCAAAACATTACGAACTGGTACATATTGGCACAACTCTTCAATGTTGGTATTAAAACACTGCACAAGTACGACAGCTCTTTTTACTTTGAATTCTCGAACAACAGCCTCTAGATAGTTGATATCCATGAATGTGCATTTGTCGTATACAAGCTCAAGGACGTCATTACTGGTGACACAATCTGATATTTGAGGAAGGTAGCCATCTGAATACTTTTTGACGAATTTCTTCAGATCTTCATAGGGGAACCGATGAAGTTTGACATTTTCACAAATGGTTTTAAATAATTTATCGAAAATGGCTCGTATGGCAGTGAACTTTCCATTAGCAGATATGATTTCTTTTAAGACTGTGCCTGTAAATTAAACATAGGATTATTATTTCCACAATTAATATGCATGATTTACTGTTTGATTCCCTCCTGGAGCTTGCATAACTGCTTCTATCAATTTGCTCTAGAAAGGTTATACAATAATACATGATTTGTTTCAAATTATTCTTCACACTTACGATAGTCATTCATTAGCTCTGCCACTAATTCATCATATTCAGCCTTTTCCAATGCATCAATGAAACTTTTCAGGTGACGGTAATTTCTTGAGACTGCATTGCGAACAGCCTTGAGCAATACAGCTCGAGAATCTTCAGCAAGAGACTGCTGTTCGACAAGCCTTACAGTAGATTTTG